TCTTAAATCTTTTGCCAGTTTCAAGTTGTTTCACTGACTTTTGTGTTTTTTTTTCTTTAATAAAAAGATAAAAACTAATTTATTTGTGTCTGTAAATTAATAAAGATGTTTAATCATAGATCTTTTACAATCTTGGGAATTCTTAAGACTGTGAGCAGCATGCAGATATTAGATGAGATGGGTATTAAAAGAATGGAACAGGCAGACCTGTGGACAAAAACATTGGACAGAAAGAGCAGGCAGATGACTGATCATCATTACCCCAGGTGTTAGCTCTGGCTCGTTCATTGGCCAGTGCTGATCTGAGCAGCAAGGAGCCATCTTGTGGTCTGAGGACAGCTGTGTGGGAGGAAAAATAGTTTAAATATCCCCAAAACAGACACTTCTTAGTTTAAGAGATGATCCATATCCTGAAAAGTTCAAGCCAAAGACAGTCACATTCAGAAATCCTGCTGAGAAAAGTGGACTCAATGTAAAACCAGGAGCTTAATAGAAATTGAAAGCTGTAGATGAAATTACCCGTAGGACTGGGACGTTTCTCAGGTGCACGAATGGGAGGGGCCTTAGTGGTCTGCCCAGGAAGTGAGCCGCCATAGGATGGTAATTTAGTGATGGGGGAGGAGGTAGTGGTGTTGGTGCGAGGGGAAGTTGTGGTGGCGATGGTGGTGGTGGTGGTGGTGGTGGTGGAGGTAGTGGAGGAGGTGGTGGAGGTGGTGGAGGTGGTGGTGGTGGGCAGGAGTTTGGGGAGGGCAGGAGTCAGACCATTTGCCGCTCGGGTTCTGTTGGACCTAAAAATGCTTCCTGAGAGGAGAGAGGTACAGTGATGTGACTGATCAGAACCAATAAGTCAGTTCTGGTTCCCAACAGACTGAACTTTGATTATCTCCATCCAAATAATGTGTTTTCAGACTTTCCTTCAGACAGCTCTAAAAACTGAGACTCATTTGGTTTTAAATTATGAAGAACATGCAGTACAGTATTCCTGCTTTGGATCCATCTGCCAAATTAAAAGCAGTTTTCTAAACAGTTTTCTAAATATTTTATATAACTTTGATATAATGAATTAGAAATTGGCACATATATTTGAGTTGTGGTCCAAATGATAATGCTGTAGAAAAACAGGAAGTTCAGAAAATAATGTACTTGAATTTTCGACTTGATTTTTGATATCATCATGTGCTGTCTGTCTCCAGAAGGAAAGTCTGAACATACCTGCGTCTGAATGGGCTGACATGCAGTCCTGTCATGCACTCTGAGGAAACGATGCAGAGAGAGTGGGGGAAATAATGATCTGATCTTCAGCTGATCCTGGAAGTTTGTCCTCTTACAAAGCAATGAGTCAGCTCTAAATTAGGAAGTTAGACCCTAACCCAACAACTGAGTCTGTCCTGATCTACAGTATATAAGTATAAAGCCCATCTGTCCACGGAATCCTCCCATCCCTTTCTCTCCACCAGACCAAAGGTCTGTCAGAGGACTTCAAAGACCAGATTGTTGATCTGAGCAAGACTCGAATTGACTAAAGACTATCAACAACAAGCTTACATTTCTTGGGTTTTCCAGACAACAACTAAATTATTCAAAGAAAGTTTTGGGGAAAACTCTGGTCTGAAGAAACCAGAATACAGCTTTTTTTAATACCAATTGGATCAGCTGTATTTAAAGGATTGACTATATTATCCAAAGAACACCATCAATTTCTATAAAAAAAAATAGGTGGAGAAACAGAAACGTCAAGCTTTTAAACAGCAGCCAGGAAACTTGAAGGATTTAGAGGATTGGAGAGAGAGCCCAAACCCCTTATGAGACGTCCACCATGTGGAGGCAGTGCTTATAAGGCTGAGTTCACCTGAAACTCCTCAGACTCTTGGAGGAGAGATGAAACTTTTCTTTAAAGAAGAACCCGTCCTGAGGACCTACTTCATTTTTTAAAGTTCTCTGTATTGTGTGTCAGAAAAATCAGCAGGAGATCAGACCATTATTTCCTCCTTTTTAAGATGAATACAGGTGGAGGGATGGACAAAGATGGAAACAGAAGATAGAATAATTAGGCCCTGGGTTAAAATGTTTTGTTTTTTTGTCTACAAGTCTGACCTCTGTTTGAAGCTGGAACCCTTATATCTAAAATTAGAGTCAAAAGTCAAAATCATGTTCACTGAATTCAAATCTGTTTAATTTTTAACTGGTTTTATTTAGATTTCTGGGAGTTTCTGCAAACTTACAATTTATCAGTGAGTTTGAACATTTCTGAAATAATCAGGGACTCTGGTTAAAAATGGCTAAAGGTCATTGCACTTTGTATCAAGTACATTATGTCAAATTTTTTTGTTTTACCAATTAAAAACATTTTCTTTTCTAAATTAATGACTCAGTTTGACACCAGCTCGGTTCAAACCATGATTTTTTCTTATCTCCACCTAAATACTGATCTTCTAGCATGTCTTCCAGGAGTAAATCTTCTAATGCCCTTTCAACAGCTGCCTGAGTCAGATCTAAGTCTCTAATGCTGCTTAAAAAAGAGACTTCTGGGTCACAATAGTGGAACAAGCTTGTCACAGCAAGAAGTTATTTTCTGTCATTAGATGCATATCTTCTAGCCTGGCCCTTGTCTTCAGCTCCGCTCAATTCTAGTTTCCCTTCACTGCTCCGTCTGGGACTTCTCCCATTTCACTGGCAGATTTTTAGCCGGGCCAATCAGAGAACAGAACGTCAATTTTCTGCACTGTGTCTGCTTGTAGTTTATTTTACCTGGGCCAATCAGAGAACAGAAGGCGGTTTGAACGACGTCGATTTTCTGCGCAGTGTCTGCTAGTTATTTTAGCATACGGCAGTGGAGGAAGTGAATGAAGCCAGTCTGTGTTGATAAGGCTTCCAAATTAAAATAAATTTGTCTGACAAAGCAGCAGCTCTCATTTACAGTCGTCTCGTTTGGCTCGGTATATTTCTCCTCTCAGTAGGGTTGTTTACAGCACACGCGATTTCCGGTTAGCTTCTTAGCTTAGCCTCCTTCACACCGATCACACATACATGCTTCAGCAGAGGTCACGCCTCCTGCAAGAATCCATTCTCTATGCATCAAGTCCAGACCCTTGTACGAAGCAAAGTGAAGGACAGGGTCTGGTTTAAACCAGGCTACATATCTTCAGGAACACCTCCTTTTTGAAATCTCCAAACTCACACCAACGTCTACTGGTACCCTGTCGTTGATACGCTCCTTACTGAACTGAAGCGTCTCTATTGTACATCTGTTGAGTGACTCAAAATTTAAAAATATATATATTATTTTGTTGAAAATTTCGATGCCTATGTTTTTCTAAGGTCTCTTTACAATGTAAAAACCAGTTCAGCTCACAAATTATAAACCAACTTGAAAGGAATAATTTTCTTTATTTTTCAGCAAAGATAAGGTCGAAAATTTGATTTTAACAGAAATATTGTGGCTAACACGTTTATTTGACTGGGAACTTTTTGCGTAAATGCTTCACAACACTATTGAGATCATTTTTTGTTCTGTACGTTTTTTGGCACATATCTCGTTCTGCAGTTTTTGTGCTATTTTAAAAAAAGAGACGTCTGGGTCTTCAGTGGATGTTTCAGAGTTAACAATTTATGTATCAAAACGTTCAGCACCTCAGGGCATTCCAGCTATGACTTTTGGTATTTCAGCTATTTATACTTTTTTAGTTATTTCACTTTTTCGACCACGTTTTTTTCAAGGAGCTGTTTTCAACATCCTTAAAATCCTTCAAAATATTTCTAAATTTTTACAGCGCCTACATCTTTTCTTCTGGTTCTGAAATTGTTTACTTCCCTTTTTCTGCTATTTAAGCTGCTTCTGCTATTTTCTACTTTTTTGGATTTTTTTTTCTTTCAAATTTGAGCTATTTCGGCTTCTTACAGTTGCTTTCTGCTATGTTCAGCTATGTGCTGCAATTTTAGCTAATGTTCAGCTGTTATTAGCTGAAGTTAGTTTTTTTTTAGTTAAATACACATTTTATTGTAGCTATTACAACTTATTTTTGGTAAGTTCAGCTAATTTGTGCAACTTATGCTTCATTGTACTAATTCAAGAATTTCCAGCTATATTTTAACTGTTTTACTGCACATTTTGGCTGTTTTAGCTATTTTACAACAAATTATCACTTTTTTGTACTTTTATGCTTTTTGTCTGCTAATTTTAAATCTTTTACAAAACCTTCGACACCTGGGTGTTACATTTAGCTTATTATTATTCAAATTTTAGATTTTTTTCTGCTATTTCAACTATATTTCTGCTCGTCTCTGCAATTCATCTGCTAATTTCTGCACACTGTGATGCTTCTTTTAGCTTTTCAAATTGAACTTGCACTAACTGTTTTGCTATTAAACATTTTCAGCTCCATTTCAGCAGCTTTCAGCTACAGTTTTCAGCAAGAAGCATCCACACTTGAATTTTTGCAGGAAATGCAATTTCTCTAGTTACCTTTTGCCTTAGAAGAAAAATAAAGTTGTAAAAAAAGACAGAAAAAGACAAAAGTGAAAAAGATCATGTTGTGGATAAAGGGCAGCCGATGGGTGCTGAAGCATGACTGTGGTCACATGACCTTGTGGTCGGGGAGAGCGGGGCCAAGTCAACTTACTCATCTTCTGCGACTTAGTCTCCAGGTATCGACTTTCTGACTTAGTGCATGCTAACGTGCAGCCAATCACAGCAGCTGCAGGCCCTGGCCCCGCCCCCTCCCAGCTGCATAATGATTGAAGCTGATGGTTAAAAACAAAAGAGCGTCTATCAGGTTACCAGGTGACTCGGAGGGAAGTTTAGGCTCAGAGCCTGGCAGAGGGAGAGTTTCCTGCTGGCTCTCAGGGGACTCTGTGGGAAATAGTAAGCTGCCTTTATAAGGAGAAGAAGAAGAAAAGGAGCAGTAAAACAGGAACCTCAAGAGCTGGAAGGTTCTGAAGAAGCAACTGCAGCTCAGGCTTAACTGATGAAGGCAAACTGTTTTTAAAATCAAATGTGACCCATCACATCGAAACGAGGATTAAGTCCAAAAGTGGAAAAAGGAGAAATAGGCAAATATAGTGTTTTGACTAAAATGTTAACAAAAATTGCATTTTGTCAAATTATAATGAATAAAAGCCTTATCAATGTATCATTTGAATGAACTGTCTGAAATATAATCATAAAACAAAATTCTGAGGCACTTTTTTGAGCAGTAGCAACAAAAAAACTGATTTAGAGGAAAAACGCCTTAAAATGTTGAGATTTTCCCTGTGAGCTAGCAAAGTTTTGTTTCTTTTTAGCTTGGAAATCTCAATATTCAAATAAAATTTGAGGTTTCCTCTTTATAAGGACATCAAACATTCCTCATTAAAAGGACATAAAATTAGGATTCAGACCAAATATTGATGTATTATTGTAACCAACAAGACACATTAAGTCATATATATGGATTTAATTATGATATCAGAATGATCCAGGTATCAAAATGTAGCTTTTAAAGCCAAGAATTTGAAAATGTAATTAGGTCATTTTGACCAAAATAGAC